TATCCGGATACGATACTCATTTTCAAAAGTATCGATACCACCGCCCCCCCCATTGTTTATGGTCATTAACAAGACGTTAGCCTTGAACTGCTAGCTTCGGCTAATGGCTAATAATAACGTGCTACCATTAATCAAGTACATATCTAACTCCGCCCACATCCAAGTCACCAATAGGGACATCCCAGGCAAGAAAATGGCAATGCCTCATGGCAATATAGACATTAATTTAAAAATAGTGAAATTAATCTTTCGAACACTTAATTAAACTCTATCCATAATATCATGTTAAAATAGTGTAATGTTAAATAGGTTTGTAGAATAAGTCCAAACAAGTTTAACCAAAAAATATTAATTTCTCACAATTATGAAGGCTGTAGGGTCAGGGTTAGGGTTAGGATTAGGGTTATTAATGCGGGCCCCACGACAGAGGAGCAGACGCCTGGATAAGTGGACGTCTGAACTAAACCAACCCTCGGCTGACCAAAGCAAAGCCTCACCTCCAGGTCGTCCTCCACTATGACCACGGAGGAGTGGCCCATGGCGCCGAACACCTGGTTGAGCGCCCAGCGGTAGTGCCTGGAGATCTTGTAGTATCCCTGGAACTTCCTGTGCTCGGGCCGGACCCTGATGTCCGACAGGTCCGGCTGGCTGATGTGCGTCACCTGGTCTCCGTAGGAGCCAATCACGCGCGCCGTTTCCGCGTGGCCGCAGTCCTGGCTGACCACGATGGGGTGCAGCTCCGCGGAGGGCCGGTACTGGATGAGCCGGTCCAGGCTCCGCTTGACCGTAACCCGGTCGCAGGCGATGACCAGGATGGGGATGATTGGCTCGTTCGGGCGAGGGGGCGTGGCCACGCCCACCTTCTGCGTTCGCCCCCGCTCTTCCTGCCGCTCCTGGGGGGCTTCGCTCGGCTCCCGGGGGTCCTGGACCTCTTCGCGGTGGCCGGTTTGCCTCTTCCCCACGTCCCTCTGGCGGGCCCAGGCCGCCCGGTGGTCCTCGATCTGCTTCAGGAGCTTCTTCTGGGTCTCCAGCTGCACCTCCACCTCCTCGGCCAGGCGGATCACCTCCCCGGCCAGGTTGGCCTGAGCCGCGGCCCCCCCCCCCCCCCCCCTGCCGAGGCCCCACTCCTCCTTCTCCCCGGGCTCGGCGCCCCCCCCGTCCCCCGGGCGGCCCAGGGGGGGCCGGCCCCAGAGGTAGAGCAGCAGCAGGGCGTTCCAGGCCACGAACAGGAACGCGCCGCACAGGATCAGGGAACCCTTTTTGCGAACCATGGCCCGAGGGCACCGGGGGAGGGGCGGGGCCGGGAGGGAGCTGCTGGCGCTTTTCACCAGGGGGAACCCTGAGGACAGAGGCAGAAATCTGAGATGGGCCTTCATTCTGTAGATGTATACATGTACAATGTACTTGAATCTGAATTTGAAGAAATCCTGGTAGGTTGTAAGGTAAAAAAAAATAGGGTAGGCAAGAATAAGCTTTGCTTCGGCTTATTCCTTTTTTGGTAAACTGTGGGTTTGTCTGTTGTTCTTTTCTTTTTTTCTTTTGTTGTTTCTTGTGTTTAATGTGGACAATTTACCAAAATAAAGTGATTGATTGATTGATTGATTGATTGATTGATTGATTGATTGATTGATTGATTGATTGATTCGTGGAGCCACATGGATCCCACAGAGGGGGGGAATCTCGCACCTTCGGAGGACAGAAACGGGGCCGGTGTCTGTGGGCGGGAGGAATGCGAGTCTGTGGAGGTTATCTGTCAGCTGTCTTCCTGAAAAGCAAAAAAAAAAAAAAAAAACAGG